CTGGTTTCTTCTTTACATTGTTCTTTTCATGTACAGTGTCCTGAGACAACGTATGTTGTGACTTGGTGCTGTATAAATAAATTGAATTGAATTGAATTGAATGACAGTAGTTCGCTGAAGAAGCTTAAACCGAGTTGTTAAAGCTAAAAGAAAAACACCAGGTAAAATAAGCAAAAAGCCAAAAGTTGCAAAGTGCTAAGCAAAAGCAGTAAAGGACAAGCTAAAAGCTAAAGGTAGCAAAATACTAGCCAAAAATTAAAAATAGTAAAAGGGTATAAGGTAAGAGTAGCAAAGAGTTAGCTAGAAGCTAAGATAGCAAAAAGGCTAGCTAAAAAATAAAAATTTTAACCGGCAGCTAAAAGCATCAAAGGTTTGCTAGAAGGAACAAAAGACTAGCTAAAATCAAAAGTACTAAGACCAGTTTAAAATACCCAAAGGCTAGCTAACTAGGTAAAAGTTCCAATGAGCAAAGAGCTCACTAAGAAAAAAAAAAAAAACGTGTTATTTTAGTGTCATTGAAGTTACCCAGTTAAATGCATGTTGTGTTCGTTTAAAAAAAAACTGTGTATAAAGTCCTGGGTTACAAACTGTTCACTCCGTAATCCAACGCGGAAAAGATCCTGCCGGCTGTATGTGACAAAAACGAAGCAGGTGGGGCAGAGAAAATTCAAGCATTCATAGAAAAACAATAAAAGAAAAAAAAAACACTCTGTCAATGAGAGGTGCTCCGAGCCGCTGCGTCTGTGCACACCGCCATCTTAAGCTGCCTATATGAAAACTAAAGGGTGGCATTTTAGGATTCCTGAAACACTGTACCTGTGTGGTCGCAAGGATGAAAGAAAGATCTTTCACACATTCGCAAGAAACATTCCCATGCAGACAGGGTCACTGAGCGTGAGAGCATTTGGGAAGTACAGACTCACCTGTGTTGTAAAAAAATGAGTCCACAAAGGTACAGTTTTTGAAGACGGATCCCACTGAAGAGACGTCTTCAAAGTAGCAGTTGACAAAAGACGAGTCAATGAACGTGACTGCCTTGAACTTCATGCTGATAAACCTGGAAAGAGGTCGGAACGTTAGAGCAAATTTTTTTACAGGAAGAAGGATCAAAAAGCAAGGAATTAGGATTAAAGTATCTCTGTAACATTTTCCTGAGAGCAAAGGAACTGATGCTTAATTCTTTCCTCTTAAATAGATGTTCATCTGAAACACATCACTGAAATGCAGTGTCACCATTTTCACTGAATGCACACATTTTATTTCAGTTCAGTTTATTTTATACTGTAGCACCAAGTCACAACAACTGTTGTTTCAGGGCACCACAAATAAAATAAAATAAAATAAAAATAAAAACAATAAATCTAAAGAAACCAGCAGACTGTGCCGAATCTTAGCTTCATCACAGTCTCCCATCCTGAGCAAACGGTGGAGAGGAAAAACTCCCTGCTAATCAGGAAGAAACCTCCAGCAGAACCAGGCTCAGGACAG